TGGTGAGGAGGCAACATATTGCCTCTTTACCACCTGTCAAATGCCTCTGAAAAGCGATCTGAGCATGGATTGCTTTTCAGAGGAGCAGCAGTCCTTGCTGCTATATACGAACAAGTCCTAAAAAAGCATTTCTGAAAGGACAGGAATAGGGAGTCGAGAATAAAAGTAAAATACATATACACACACACATATAAAAACAAACAGACACATGTACATACACATGTAACATAGCTGCAGCTGCCCCCTCCCTCTAAAAGATAATAAGGGGAGAAGTTTCCCTGAATTATCTGTGAGATTTGAAAACCGCACACGGCCGTGTCATTCATTCACGGACTTCTGTGAATGAATGAACTGAAAGTCCCGACAGCCTTAGTGGTTGTGGGCTTGTAGTTCTCAATGAACTACCACTGCGCTGTGGAGTGCCGTGGAAGTTCATTGAAGCTTCCTGTCTGAATATCTGCTTGATAGAATATCTGCTTGCCATGCAGGATGTACAGACAGGTCTGCAGGAGACCTGCATGTCATCAGCAATCTACTGATCCTGCAAAAAAAGTTCATTTTATTATTTTTTTATTATTTACCAAAAGGTGAACTTATCCTTTAACATACATAGCATCCTATATGTGAGCTTTGGCTGTGAGAAGATCTCTAAATATATTGGGCAGCACAGTGGCTAAATGGTTAGCACTTCCACCTGGCAGTACTAGGGTTGTTGGTTCGAATCGCAGCCATGGCACCACCTGCGTGGAGTTTGCATGTTCTCACTGTGCCTGCATAGGTTTCCTCTGGGTACACCGGTTTCCTCACACACTCCAAAGACATGCTGGTAGGTTTATTGGTTCCTGTCTAAATTTGCCCTTATATGTGTACGTATGAATGTGAGTTAGGGGCCTTATATTGTACACACCTTGAGGGTTAGGGACTGATGTACAATATATGTAAAGCGTTGTGTAAATTGACAGCGCTATATAAGTACCTGGAATAATAATAATAAATATTTCAAAAGCAAATTGTAGTTTGACAACATTACTTTTAACTATGTAATCCTTACCCAAGGATGTAGATGTTAAAAAAAAAAAAAAGTTATTGTATAAGGAAAAACTGTTAAGGTAGATGGGTTTTCCATTATGCTGACTAGTCAAAATCCTATTTAGAAAGGAAACATTTAAAGAGAAAACCAAGTATACAGTGGATTGTGATGGGCAAATGTGACACACATGGACTTTCCAAGCCGGTCACTGTATTGTTAAAGGAACAATGGAAGCAATTGTACAAGTCACATACAAGTGCTTGTGAACTACTGCATATGCCATCCTAACTGTTTGATGTCCTAGTGGATATCTGTCAGCCAAAGGATTTATCTGCTTTCAAAGTGGCCTTTTAAATGAGCTTTTCTCTGAAGATACATACAATCTTTTCGATATTCCCTCTACCACCCCCAAACAGTGCAACAACATAAATCAACAAATGTCCACATATGAGTCCATATATAGTGTTTATAATAAATAGTGTTTTCCAACGTTGGAGAATCCTTCACTTTTGTTGTTATTCAATCCAGGAACCTCAAATAAGGATACCTCAAAAAAATATAAACTTAATATAGTGCATTATCTTTAAACAAAAACAAAAACACTCGTGAGAAACCACACGTGAGAAACTACAAGTGATTCCTCCTACATTCCCCTTGTTTAAAGATAATGTACTATATTAAGTTTATATTTTTTTGAGGTATCCTTATTTGAGGTTCCTGGATTGAATAACAACAAAAGTGAAGGATTCTCCAACGTTGGAAAACACTATTTATTATAAACACTATATATGGACTCATATGTGGACATTTGTTGATTTATGTTGTTGCACTGTTTGGGGGTGGTAGAGGGAATATCGAAAAGATTGTATGTATTTTGTTTGCACTTTCAAGGGTGAGAGTGATACTTTTCACGGGGATATCTAGAGTCTGTATTACATTTTCTCTGAAGATAGTCTGCCTGTGTGTGGACATCATTATTCATAGCCCAGGTGCACAAAAGCTTTTTTGTTGAGTTGCATTGCTTTCTGTGAGTTTGTAGATAAAGTATTTTTTTAATGTTTTATGGACTTCATGTTTGCTATAAAGACACTCGCTAGATAGGTGTCACATTAAGAATTCCTTTTTATCTTCCCTCGTTTCGATATTTTTGGTAAAGTCAAAATGTTGTAGACATGGCCTTATCATGGAGCTTGAAACGTAGAACGTCGGACAAGTGCCTACATGCACATTTACTACGCATGTATGTTTACAGTTTTATCTGCCTAGCTGGATTTGCAGAATTGTTCAGCCATTGTTGTGACTCGCATGCTTCATAGTCAGCTAGGTGACACCTCTAATACCTGGTTTGTCATTACGGCTTTGAGTCACCTAATTATTGGGCAAGGAATTAAATCCATCACTTCTGTAAGCTGGAAGGTGATCTAGGAACCCCCAAAGTAAACTTTTTTTCTATTCAGTGCCATTTCAAGAATGGTTGACTCAGAATTGCTAGTAAAACAGTGATCTGTGTATTTTTTGGACTGCATAGAGTTCAGCTTTAGAATTAAAATACTGAAATAGTCAAATACCAAAATAATTATTGCGTTGACAGAATTGGCCCAAAAAAATAAATTCAGTCAAATCCTAACTGCGTTTATACCTGTTCCCACCCTCATGCAAAAGGATGTATTTGCTAAAGCTGGTTCATTCAGAATCTGGTTACCATGTACAGGTGCACCAATCAGATTCTAACCTCAGCTTGTTCAATTAAGCTTTAGCAATAAAACCTGGAAGCTGATTGGTTTCTATGCAGAAGTGCACAAAATTCAGAGTGAACCAGTTTTAGTAAATATACCCTTAAGCCTGTTTTAACTACCCAGTAATTGAAAGATGTCTGTACCTGTCCTATTCTGAGGATGCTCCGGTCTGGCCACATAATCTCTGCTGTGGCTGGCTTCACTGAAGGGGAGAGATTGCTGACAGCGGCCGTAATGCAGGGATGTCACACTTATGCTGGCCATACATGGGTTGAAAGACCTAAGAATAATTGGCCGATTTTCGCTTTGTTAGTGGGTCAATGGCACCGGACGATTTTTGTGGTTCCTCCCCTTTTCGGTGATCGGCATGTTGGAAAATCCGTGAAAAAACGACCGATTTTTGACTTTTTTCCGAAAAGAATATGCGCATAAGTCGTGATCTGGAAGGAACAGAAGTTTCACCTGTTATATGGGGTGAACTTTATGACTTGGTCAGATGATTTTCGAAGTCATTGATGGTGCCATTGGATTACCGAGCGAACAACGTTTTAGATTTTTGGATGAAAAATCGTTCGGAATTCGACCCATGTATGGCCTACATTACTACAAGGCATCCATTGTCCGCTGTCTCTCCTGTACGCAGAAGCCAGAACTGGGAGCTGATCATGTGACCTGACCGGAGCCCCCCCCCCCCCCCAGCATAGGTACGTATTAGACATCTTTCCTTTCACAGGGTAGTTAGAATGGGGGTGAGAATAGGTTTAACTGTAGTTGGGATTTGCCTGGACTTGCACTTTAAGACCTATCTTATTATCTATGTTTAATGCTGGTTTGCTGTTAATATTTTTAGTGTCTATGTTCAATATCTTTATCTGTAAAACGGTTATAATGCAATCCATTTCTGCCTTCAAAATCATTCTGTTAAATCCTTACAGTATGATGAAAATGTGAAGATTTAATTTTACAGTTGGTAAAAGCTGATTTTACCAAAGCTAAAGGTTTACATTAATGAAATTGTGGGATAGGTACCTCTCATCAACCTGATTTTGGTCTTTCTACTTTTTACAGTGGTTGCCTCCAGGCTTCAGACTGTAGGCTGTCCCTCACCCATTGACCCGACTAAGGGCCCATGCCACGGGGATGCTCGGCTCCCCAAGGCAGTGACTCCGTCTGTAAGTTTGGTCGGTCTGTGTGGGGCCCTGAACTGTTCGTTTTCCTCATGGTTTTGGAAAGATTTTTTTTCTTTTTTTGTAATTGCCAATACTTCACATGCTAGAGTAATTCTGGAAATGCAAGATAGAGCAATATGTTCTTTTTATCTCTTCTCTTTCTCCCATGTTCAGAAGTGAAAAGCGCCCATCAATGAACAATCTAAAGTTACAGCACAGCCAAACGTGTCAACTTTATCACTTAGTAGATGATTTATCCATAAATTATCTAAAATCTAGGAGTTGTAATCATTAAAATCGAATGGGTCTTCACACAAACACTTTGGTCTCCTAATGTGACTTTGAATGTTGTTTAGAAAGATAGAATTGGCAGGAAAGCAGTAATGTCTGACTGGATATTCCACTTCCTCCTCTGCCACAATAGGCATACAACCAAGGTCAGTTTTTAATCTGACTCAAGGTATACATGTATAGGTTTTTGTTTTCAAGGTCAGATTGTCCATTTCAGCCATACACACATTGTACAGTTTGTCACACTTATGAGGCCCATGTTTTAACAGGTGTGATCTTATTGAGCATTGCATGTGATGAGTCCTCTGTCTGGAGTTTGTCCTCTCCTGTTCATTATTTGAGTGATTAGTAATCAGTGGGGGCTGTTGGCTGTCCCATAAAAAGTGTCCATAAATTAAGTGTGAAATCTCCTATTTCTAGCAGACAGTCCATGTTGGATAACTTTAAAGAAATCCACACATTTCTATAGGGGAAGCAGTCACCTTACCTGCTGAACGTTGTGGGGGGAGGACATAGACTATGTTTAAATCTATCATTGAAAATGTGAAAAGCCAGTTATTGTATTTGTGGTAACTTGTACAGTGGTTCTTTTTTATAAGATGAAAGATGGTCTATGAAGTTTGCAGCCAGTGTTTAAAAGGAAAACTCTCTTACTTTCCATGAATCGATTTATGCCACTGTTTAGAAGTCAGTCCTTGTGCAAACAATAACATTGTGTTGATGTCTAAATATATTTTTATATAGGTATGTTTGTTCTTTTACCTTTGTTTGCAGGAACCCCAATCAATAAGCCTCCAGTATTGGGATATAAAGATCTGAATCTTTTCAAGCTTTTTAGGCTAGTCTATCACCAGGGGGGTTGTGACAATGTAAGTAGATTTTAACTTTTTTTTTTTTTTTTTTTTTTCCCTGCCGTCTTCAAGTTTTATATCAACATTTTCTCCTTTTCTGGCAGATTGAAAGTGGTGCTGTATGGAAGCAAATTTATATGGACCTTGGCATTCCTATTTTAAACTCTGCTGCATCCTACAATGTAAAAACCGCGTACAAAAAGTAAGTGACTGTAAAAAAAAAAAAAAATCCCCATTCATAGAGATGTTTTAGTGGGACTGCGGCGGCGGGCATTCTGACACTGGGGGGAAACTGACTTGGTGTCAATGGGGATGTAAAAAACAGCACTCTGACACTGGGCAGAAAGGGGTTAATGTGAGGGGCGAGAAAAAGGGTTAAGTGTGTGTAAGGAGTGTTTTACTAGGGGGCAGGGGGGTGTGTGCTTCACTGTAACCACACTGATCGGGACGGCTGTGCACAGCAGTGTGCTTCAGCAGAGAGGGAGGAAATTTGTAAACAAAATAACTGGGCTGCAATGTAATAAAGAAAAAGATTGGGAACTGCAAGGCCTCCCATATCTTTAGCTTCCTGTAGAGTTTCTAGTTTAATGTGAGGCGTGCGCATCTGACAGATTAAGGCGCAAAACAACGTATCAAATCTTTTAAAGATCTATTTGGGAATCCAAACAGGGGCATTGTGCAGAATATGAAGTAATTGAGGGGCCCAGATCATTTTTGATTAAGTTACACCTCCCTACCACGGATAGAGGAAGTTTAGTCCAGCTACTTGTTTTTTGTTTAAATTTTTTAATTAACGGTAGTAAGTTTAGATATGTCTATTTCGATAGAGTGGGGTGAATGATATTACCCAGATATTTAAAGGAGTCCACTATTTCAATCTGCACAACTTCAGGTGGTATGGGATGCGTAAGGGTATCCAGCGGTATTCCAATTTATTGAGAAGCCAGAGAAGGGGCCAAATTCATTGATTAATGTCATTAGGCATGTCAATGTATCACGCGGATGTATCACCCAAAAACAGAAGGGTGTCATCAGCATATACTGCTACTTTCTCCATCTGCTCTCCTCCACAAAAACCAACTATACCCAAATCTTCTCTAATGGCAACTGCCAGACGTTCTATCACTACAGCGAATAACAATGGGGAGAGAAGACATCCCTGCCATGTCCCTCTACCTAGTGCGAATGAGGTGGATACAGCATTATTGAGTGTAGATATATCTAGTACGGCCTGCATGAGTCTCCTGTTCTGTACACATATGAATGACACCTTTTGGTTAAAGTGTTGACTTGCACAGCCTGCATTTAAGAAGCGTCAGACCATTATCAAGGATACTACTACTGACAAAAGTACCCATCTACCTCAGCAGAAGACAATTGAACAGACTGCAAAGCCCTCTCCCTCTTTTGATTACAAAAACATCCCTTTCGTTACCCCACTCCCACACCAGCTAATGTCTAGACCTCTCCAAGATTGGATCCCAGTTCACCCTCAAGGTCCGGGGACTAAAGCCTGACAAATACTCAGTTAAAGTGAAAGTTAAGTCCGCTTTTTGATTTGTACTTACAGTTAAGCCTATATTAAAGCTTACCTGTAGGTACAGTGAATATCCCCTAAACTGGCACTGTTGGGATATTCACACAACATGCTGATGTCACGTGCAAATGCACTCTGAAGGGACGGCATACCTGTGCCATTCCTTCAGAGCTCCATGCCGGGACCTGCGCATGCGCGTGAGTGACGTCATTGTGGCCCCATCTATTCATTGAGCCGGAGTCTGCGAACCCAGAAGGAAGGCCGGTTGAAGATGGATACTCCCAAGAGCCATAGCAGTGCTGCGGTAAAGGGCTCTGTGTCCAGGTAAGTCTGTCATAATGTGGGAGTATGCAGTGCATTCTAGTTCATTGTGACTTAATGATCAGGTCTGTCATTTCTTTCTTTCACCAGGGAGATTTTCCTGTTTTGGTTGACATTAAGAATGCATACCTACATGCCCGTCTTTTCAACAGTTTTGACCTTTTCCATGTTTTGATGTGGAGCTTGTGCATTAACAGCTCGTGGTCCTGCTGTTCAGCCTCTGGTCTGCACCTTGGGTGTTCACCAAGGTGCTGGCCACAGGATTATCCATGCTGTGCTTCCATTGCATCCCCATTGTGGAATACTTAAGGCAACCTCCTGTTGAGAGAACAGTCTTTGTAGGCTCTGTCTGTACAATGTGACATTGACTGTCCAGAGAGTAGTTGTTTAGTTGGCACCTGAACTTACAGAAATCTTTGTTGGAAGCCCGGCATTATTCGGACTACAGAAAAGGCATATTATTTAAAGCTAGTTATGATCCTTATTACATAGTTATATTGGTCTAGTTCAGGGGTAGGCAACCTAAAAGAGGTGTAGATCTACCTGAACAACATGGAAGAAGTCAAAGATCAACTGGCAGAGTGTCCCCTCCTCACACCTGATTTATACCTCTAATTGCCATACTACCGTGTCACAATCACGTGCATTGCACATCAATTATGGATTTAAATCAGGTGGTGAGGAGGCAACATATCGCCTGTTCACCACCTGTCAAACACACTTGGATCGCTGGGCAAATTGCTGGATCTGCATAATGTTGTCAAAACGGCGACCCTTGAGCTGGATCTTCATCTTCGGGGGTTGAGCTCGTTTGAAGGTCTTCCTGACGTCTCGTCTTCCAGTGATGTTCTTTCGCCCTTGAAATGCACTTGCCACTCAAAACTCCTCGAACGACTCACTGCAGCATCGCTATTAACTTCCCGAATCATGTCAAACACCTCACGTTTCACGCAGAACTTCGTTTGCCCTTTTGCTCTAACTTGTTGTCCATGATGAAATAGCAGACGTGGTAACACACGATGTCAGAATACCACCAGTTGAACAGCTGCCGAGGTACACAGGACAATGTTTTTTGGCACACTGACTTATGAAGGTCGGTGCTCCCTGTGATGGTGCATGCTGCCATCTGTTGGTTTGTTACAAAACTAGGTCTTGAAACTTTTTGATACCACCTCATATTTTATTCTACAGGCATGGTGCACTTTCTAAAAGCACACCAAAACTCTTACATTCAGGAGTTTAATTGCGCTTTCAGAAGGTGTACCACATCTGCAGTATATAATAGAAGTCTATGGCTAAGCGCAGGAAAGCGTGGTGTAGGTAAACCATAGCATATCAGTGTGAAAGCAGCCCTATATTATTATGCCCGGTGTGTTGCTTCACACTGACCTAACAATCTCTTCTTTCCTGCTGCTGGCACCACTCTGGAGACTGTTAGCTGGGATAAAAGGTGGAGTGCAGTTGGTATTATTCCACACAGGGCAGGAGCCAGCACTACAGAGGTGGCATTGGCTTATGTTGCTCTTGCTCCCTACTACAGCTCCAACTTTACAAGTAGTCCTTCTGCATTGCACTCTGATGCTCTGGGATGGCAGGTGAGCAAACCCAGACCGCTATCTACCAGTCACTTGGCCGAGATCTACTGGTTGCAGACCCCTGGTCTAGTTCATACCTAAACTTCCGCTTTACTGTGGTGTGAGTTTTGGAGTTTCCACCTTGGGAGGTTCTTTGTGGGATGAATCCTCTACTTCCTTCAGCTACGTCTGGACCATCAATTGACTTTCGTACTCATAAGGCTGTCTTTGTCACCTCGGGTGGACCACAGAAGGGTGCTCCAGCATTTTGTTCCATCACAGGTGACTCAGGGAGACCCTTATCCAAGGTCTTGTGGTCTTCAGGATCAGTTTCTATGCTTTCCTGTTAAGGCGCCATCCAGTAGATCTGTGCTGCTTGCGTGTTTTTGGGGGGTTTTTTTTAGCAGCAAACCGTTTTCTGTCAGATTTGCAAGGCTGGTACCTGGAACGTTGGCATGTTCTCTAAGACCAGGTGGTTTTTGCTAATGCCAGCAGTATAGTTCTTCAGGAGGCTCTTTGGGCTGCAGGCAGTCCTGATTTTTCTGCTTTTTTTTTTTCTTGAGTCCATTGGGTTTTTTGTGTTGCTCACCCCTCTGCTGGACTTCTGTTGGATGTCCTGATGGTGAAAAACTTCCTGTATCCTTTAGTACATATGGGAAACAAAATATATTTGTAATCTCTGAAATATACTTTTCTTAGAGTTTAAGGGGTACAGGTGTCATCCCCTTGTATTTATGATCATGCCCTTGGTTCTGCTTTGCTTTTCGAGGCATACCCATAGTAGTAGGGGGCTTATCCTGTGCTATTGTACAGTTTTTTGCCAGTGTCCAATCCTTCTATAGGCCCCATCATAACCAAGAGGTGAGATTTGCTGTATCTCTAATTGGACTCCCAAGAAAAAAGATTTTTAGGTTCAGTACAAAATTGCTGTTTTCTTCACGATGCTTAAAGAAACAGAGAAGAAAGAGGATTTGTTTAATATGCTTTTACTACTTGTTTAGAATATATAACTACTTTAGTGTGCATGATCTGGGCACAGGTTCATTTCAAGTTTGCAAGCCTATTCTGATATAGGCAGGCCAGTTTCCTTTTAGTTTGTAGCTGATAGTAGGTAAAGTTGGAGGATTCCAGTTTGTTTTTGATAAGGATTCTTGTAATATGAACAGTGTTTGTGAGGTTTAGTTCTAAAGCCTCCCAATTTTAAATGCTTATTGTTGTTTTTTTTTTTTTGTGCTTCATCTTACAGACTACCCTTCACCTGTAAGCATCTCCAAAATGTAAATAAGCCTTCTCACCCAAAGGAATGAATTTGACATTAAATTATATGCAAACCTAAAAACAAAAAGTAATATATTTCTGTTTAAAAGGTCTTGGATGTGGCTGCTGCATTTGTTTTTCTCTTTTTCAGGTTTTTTATTTTCACCTGGCTGTTCTGCCAGTTAGATACTTCCATTTGTAGAATGGCAATGCTCACTTACTCTTTTGTATCGGGACAATAGAAACAGTATGGGACTATGGAACCGTGCACCTCTCCTGTTCTTTGTAACATACAGGGGCAAAATTCTGAGATGGCTAACAACAAGGTTATTTAATAGCAGTTGGCACAGAAATTAGAAGCTCGCAAGGCTTCAGGAAAGATCAAGAGGTATTTTGTTAACTTATCAGAGAGACCAAACCTTTTCAGTGGTACAGAAAAAAAGAGAATTTTAGGGTTAGGGATTATATACCTTTTTAAGTTGCAAGTTAAAAGCTGTATGTTATGTTAACATTCCTATTAATATGGGACCAATAGTCTTCACTGGGAGATGCTATCAGTGTAATATGCTGTCCTTCTCATTCCAGGTATTTGTATGGGTTTGAAGAGTATTGCCGCTCTGCAGAAATTAAGTTTAGGACTATTCATCATCACAATGATCCCCAACCAGTAGAGGAGAGTCCGACACAGGAAGAAGAATCAATGGAGAACATCGACCAGACCGAACCTGAAACCCCGCCTATCAGTGTTAGTGTCAAGGAAGATGACGACACAGATTCTAGCAGCGACAATGAAAAAGAGGAGATTGAAATGAAGTCTCTAAGGGTACGATTGTATTTAAATGTAATGTAAACCTCAGAAAGCCTTTCTATTAACGATGTTCTTTCCATGATCTTAGGCTCATTTTTTTTTCCCTATATCTTTGTCTCCTAAATGTAATGAAGCATGTAGACACATCAGATGTTATGTCACCCCTTATACCACTGCTTGCTCTGGGCCAGTGACTCACTAAGCAGTGATACAACAGTGCAACAAACCGCTCCACAGTCTAGACATTCACAAGAAAGTTGGTAGTGACAGCTTGTGTATTTGTATCTTAAAGTGGAGTTCCACCCTAAAGGGGAAGTTCCGCTTTAATGCTTTGTCCCCGCTCCCCATTAAGGATGGCACCTTTAGGGAGCAGGTTCCCGAATTTGACAGGTACCCGCTTCCACTTACGTTGCGATCACCTAGGCGATCGGAAGCAGAAGTTGTCCTCCCTCCCCGTAGTCTCCTGGGACATGTGACAGGTCCCAGAAGACTATGGGGCCATTCACAAATCGCAGCGCTTCTCGCTCATTCGCAGTGGGCACCTGGCTGTGAAGCCGCAAGCTGTCACAGCCGGGTGCCCACACTAAAGATGCCAGTGCCAGGCTGAGAAGACGGCTGGTGAAACCAGAGATGGTGAGGACACTGCTGGACCGAGGGACAGGTAAGTGTCTATTTTAAAAGTCAGCAGCTACAGTTTTTGTAGCTGCTGACTTTTTTTTTATTTTATTTTCAGCTGGAACTCTACTTTAACAGATTATTTATTTTTTAAGTTGTTTTTTTTCTATGGGTTATCTGCACAGGAAGCTAGAAGTTTATTGAAAAAGAACGTCTATTAAAGCTCCTTGTGTTTGTAAAAATGTGTGTTTTTTAAAATAGATTTTGATATTTTAAATATTTATGGTGGTCATTCCTTGCATTTGATTTCTGCCATGTTTTTTTGTTTTTGTTTGTTTTTTTTTAAACTAACTAGCATTAATAATTCCATATCATTATTCTATAGGCGAGGCGAAGACCCGTTATCTGTGCAAACTCATCTACAAATGAGCAGGAAGACTCTGAGAAAAGAAAAGAGAGCAACAAAGAAAACAAAGATGTGGAAGAGGACGATGACAGACCTGAGGAAAAGAAGGAAAATGATGCTACTCCTCTGAGGAGAAGCTTAACTAGCAAGGGGAAGGATCGGAGAATTCAGAAACCAGAGGACTCGGAGAGAGAATCTGATGAGGAGGATGACAAACTATCTGATGTGTAAGTGAGCTAACTTTGTCCTTGCCCTTAGTTTTACCTTGTTCTGACTGTCAGTGCAAGTTTTCAGAGACAAAAAACATATCCTAAATGTACAGTACAGGACAATGGCAAAGTATTCTTACACTGTGGGTTATAGGCATGTACCTTCAGGTGAATGGACACTGCCTGCGCTTTAGAGGACATGCACCCTAAGTGCCTCCCCTATGACCCTAACCCACTGTGTGAGTCCTCCATTTTACGCTAACATTTGAAAGCAATGAACCTCTTCTCCTACATGGAGAAAATCACCCTTCGTTTAATTAGTTTATTATTTTTCTTCATTATTTTGTCATTGGATTCTTCAATCAACTCCTCACTGTCTTCTAATGCCAACATAGAGGCAATAGATCTGGATTGCCACAACCTTCGTAAAACCTTGGAGGTTTTACCAGGGATCCACACCAGTAAATGCTGTGGGAATAGCCTGTAATGTTGCCTCAGACACTGGAGCCTGCATAGGCATTTACAATGACACTTTGTGCAATGTTTTGATGTCAGTCGTAGGGTGCTTTTACAGGACCATGGCCATCTTCCATCGCTATGGATTGTTCTCTGTATAACACTGCAGACTCTGTAATAAGATATGCTCACTGTGATGGACGAAGTCTGGTCTTCACATACAGTCCAGTATTGTGGATAGGTAAGACAGTCACCCTATATATCTAACTGTTACCATAAAAAGAGCGCTGTGTTTGGAATGTATTTTGTTCACAGTGGCAACTTTTTTAAACTTGGCAATAAAATTTAAACCACTCAGAGCTCATTCTCATTTGAATGACCAGGCGTTACATCACACCACTGGTGGCACACTTTACTGCCACTTCGCCTGCAGCCCTGGTAAGGTACTTGGGCGCCTTCTCCTGCCCTTTCGTCACAAGGATTTGTTACAGGGCAGTCTGTACCTGAGTTACCTTGTACTCCTTCTGGACACGTTTACCCTATACTTCCATCCTATTCAGTGAGCACCCCACAAGGAAATTCCTGTTGTAGCTATGGTGGAGACCACGCAAAAGGAAGTCAATTCAGAATCGCAGGCAAACATTCAGGGGCAGTTCACACTACAAAAAATGCATTCCGGATATGTTTTTGCTTACAGTTCACACCACACTCAGTTCCGGTGCAGTTTTGATCCAGTTTGCCATGTTTCAGTATTCTGTGCAGAAAAAATGCAGCATGTTCTACTTTTTTTTTTTTTTTTTTTCCTGCACTTGAAACTTAGTGGAACTGACTGCACTACTGTGAACTAGGGCCATTGGAATACATAGAAAACACTGTGCATGCATTTTTGATGCAGAAAAAAGTGCACTGAACTGCATCTAGTGTGAACTAGCTCTGAGTCTGCCAAAGGTCCCCACAACAACACCACTCTACCTCGGCGTCATGATGGGTCCCTTTCATCAAAGCAGAAACCAGGCTCTACCACTGGTCTCTTCATTGGATTTTTTCTCTTTCAGGGACACAACTAGCGCCTTATTTGACTAAAGCAGAATTCTCTGCATCTATGTCACAATTCCACGGACAGTTTACAGCGTTAATTATCTTTGTCTAGGGTTCATATATATCACAGATTTTCTCCTACTTATGTTTCTCACCCTCAATTGGATCGTGATGTGCTGGTCCTAAAGGATGCAGTCACAGAAGGGAGTGAAGAGGCTGTTGAGGCAGTATTGTTGGAAGCTGCAGAAGACTTTTCTTCCCCAGACTGATACCAAATTGAAAAGGTAGTTTGATGCAACATGCTTGCTAACATTGAATAGCTAATTGCTTCTATTTGCAAAAGTCTTGGCATTGTGCAACCTGACTCCTTCATTTCTTCACACCCATTTCTACAAAGAGAACTGCAAAATCCTGCAAACCAGTCCTAAACAAACATCTTGTTGTACCTATTAAAGATGTTCCTTCTTTCAAAGATTCTGCAGATGGAAAATGTGAGATTCTCTTTGCTGTTGGGGACCAACCCTGCAGCCAGCTCCCATTGCCAAACTGCAGCTAACTGGACTAGGGCAATGAATAACCAACATGTTTGTTTAAGGATCATGCCATTACAGGTCAATTACAGCAACTGCTATCTGCTCCATTTTCAAGACAAATGTGCAAGATGGCTCTGATCTTTATTCACATGCATAGAATCCTATGGGTGAAAGCAGGGCTGCTGTTAGAAACCACGGACCCCATACAGCCAACCTGACAGGGCCCCTCCCCCCAAAAAACCCACAGTTTACTATACTTATGAACTACAGGTATGAATAAACAAAGTGAGTGGTCGGTACTGATTGCTAATTGTGTTAATTCAGGAAAGAAGGGGCTGTAAATGTGACATATTTAATGGAACCTTCCCCCACTCTCCATCCTGAAGGATCCTATTGTCTTAGTGCCTGCAGCTGCCGGTGGGAGACAAAGGAGGGTAGCCGGCAGCACTGTGGGGATCGGGGTACACGGGGGGCCTGGGCAGCAGGGGAAAACGTATGGTGTACAAGCAGGGTGACATGGGGCAATTACTGGAACCGATCCCCTGTATGGCTCTCTTTGCAGCAGCTGAAAGCCGACAGGAGGGAGAGGAGAAGTCAGCTTTCAGCTGCTGCATAAAGCGCCATAAAGGGAATCGGTGCCGGTAATAGCCCCTCCGCTGTTCTGATCACCCTCCCTGCCAACATCTGATTCACCCAGCTTCCTGGGCCCCCCTGCTGGCCTGGGCCCCCTACAGGAGAACTGGTGGTACCCCCTTATCCGTGGCCTGGGTGAAAGCTTGGACAGCTGAAGCTGTATGTAGAAGGGTGACTCATATGTATGCCTTTCCAATGAAACCGTCTGATAAATTTGGTCAAGCAATGAGGTCACAGGAGGGAATGTTTATTTCCACAATGGAAGAGCCCAAAAAACCTTCTCGATTAGAAGAGCCAGGGGCTTCTGAGGAGAATACTTATCTGCTTTAACCAGGCTTCAACTTCAAAACCTAAGTACAGCTCTTCCTTTCAGTACAAGGCTTGGCCCACAGATTCCCAAAGCCTTCACCAAAACCCTCTCCACAATGAAGGGGCACCCTACAGGGAAGAGCAGAGAGTGCACTGATAACAGCTGAAATGCCTGAGTGGTGATGTAATCCATAGGCTTATTATGGGCCATCCATTGTCAGCATGTCTCCTCTTCTCTGACAGAGGGAAGCTGATCACGTGGCCTGAGAATAGGTAAATGTATGCAGTAATATGCAGCTTTCTTCTACAAGGTAGAATATGTTAGGAGGGGGAGGGTGCAGTTTGACGATTAGATAGTTTTATCCTGGAATTCCACTTTAAGCATTCTCAAAGGGTAGGTCTCAGATGTATTCATTCTTTTTCAAAAGTCTTGGCTTTCCTCTCCCTTGTAAGTACCTTTCTTCAAGGTGTATCTAGTATTAGGCCCCCATTGCAGCACCCTGTTCTTTCTTGGGATCTTAACTTGGTTCTGTCTGCCCTGCAGAAACAGTCCTTTAAACCTATCGGGTGTATTCCCCTAGAGGATCTCGCTTGCAAAATAGCCTTTTCGGTTGCCATCAAGTCTGAACGGGGGGGGGGCCCTTTTCCTGTAAAAGAGCCTTTCCTCTTTCACAATGACAAGATTGTATTACACCCAAGGCCACTCCCTTTTTTTCTTTAGTTATGCTTGGAATTCAGCAATGCAATACAAAAAGGCTAAGTATTCGAGTCTCACACTGCCTTACTACTATGTGGTCACAACGTGTCGATTTGTGTGGGGGGAGTGGGGTGGCGCAGTGCAGTCCCACTGTATTGGGTATCCCCCAGCTTATACTCTACTAACAGCTCCTGGACTGCTTGCAGCATGCCTACTGATTGTGTCTGTTTCTGCAGCCTTGAATTATGTCTCCCTCTGCTCCTAGATACTTTTTCTCATCCTAGTTTGCTCCTTTGGGTAAGGATTACTGCACTTTCAGCTGAGACTACAGTCATGCAGGGCTTCATGGACCCAAATCATTGGTTTATTAGCTGACTCTTACTGCAGAGCCCCAAACATGTTCCCATGCCTTCTTCTGCATCTCTGTCTGATTTATCTGTGGATATGGCTGCTTTTGAGCTATCCGCTGTAGTGACTTTGTCTGATTATCAGTTGCTTTAGTGCCTTTCCGGCAAACTTGCCCTGTGGGGTTACAGTCTACTGCTATTACTCTCTCCGCATTAAGAGAATATTTCATCTCTTATCGATGCAATGCACACAACTCTAAAATGACAGGATTAGCCTGTCGCTTCTACCATTGCAGTTTCTAGTCTGGGCTCCTAAGGTTACAGAGACTTTCCTATTGCACCCACTTTTTCTGACAATTTAATTTACTGATATTGGAAACATCCTGACAAGATGTTTGATACCCCTCTTCTCCCCCCAAGTGCTTATTGGTCTTGTATCCATTTGTGCAAAAGGGTTTATCCCCCCATTGTAGATCTGGCAGTGTCCCGCCTTAACAAGCTTTGTACAAGCTATCTCCAGCAGGAGACGCACTCACCTTTTTAAAGAGTATTTTCTTTATCGTACATTACGGGACACAGAACAGGCTATTCATGTCTATGGGTTATACGCCACCTATAGCTGAATGGACACTGGCCGACCAATCAGAGAGGAGGTCCTCCCCTATATAACCCCTTCTACACATTAAGTACTTCAGTTTTTTTCGCCAGGTGGATGGTCAATGAAAGTGTTGCCTGTGCTCCAAGGAGCATACCTAAGGTCTGGATGGGTTCCGTGGGGAATCATGGACTTTAATTGGATGCATTCAGAAAGCTGCTCAACCAAGATGGATGGTAGCCGAGCCTCGCTAGATAAAGAGAAGAGCCCTCGGGGTTTTGCCTGCAATGCAACCTTACAACGCTGGACCCTGTGTAACCGAACCCTGTGCAGTAGAAACTGACCAGGGTGTTTTCTAGTAGGGTGCTGAACAGGTCCAAGGCACTTGCCCTATTTAATATGGGACCAAG